CCCCAAAACCCCAAAACCCCAAAACCCCTTTTTATTCAAGAGTCACTGAAAATAATTAAATGTCACCTATATTTATCTATATATACGTGCGAGCACTTGGCTATCAGCCTCATATAGAAAAGTTCAGGGTGCTTGGGATCAATCAAAAGGATCACTTGGCCTCGGACATTTAGAATTCATTAATTTGGAAAGCCAGATCATGGTTTGCACCATAAAGTTATATATAACATGACTGAATGGATTAGCGTTGATCAGACCGAGAAAAGTTCTTCATCCAGCACTATTTTCTATAATTTTAATATTTGATTATACTCTTCAGCTCTTTAAGAGGTTGAAGAATGAAGCCAAAATCATACTTCGAAATTTTCGGAAGCAAGTTACCATACACATTAAATCGTAGATAATATTAGCTAATGACTCGAACTTTTATTTAAATAATCAACAATGTCTGGTAGAATTATTAGAATCAGTTCCAAGTGGTTTATGAGTCTGGTACAAGTACTCCTTTATTGACATCATTGAAGTGGGTGAACAAATGGATATTTTTAATAGATGAATTTTTTATCAAACTAAATTGTCACTAGTGACTTATTAATAACAACCTGGCTGTAGAATTTGAGCATAAGGGAGATAATATCAACATTCGATATCATTCTCATGAATTAGTAATTTTAGACTTGAGAGGGATGAAGTGTTTTTGATGAAAATTATACCTACAATAAGAAAATTTATTTAATCTTTATAACTAAAAACTCTTCCTCTCTTATTCCTAATTAAATTTGTCTTATAACCCCTAAAAATGAGATAAAGAGGCCATACGAAATGTTATATCTATATTTTGGTATAATGTTCATCTAGCCTCTTTTTTTAAACTAACAATAGGCTCAAATTTGAGTTCCTGTACTTTGTACTTCTCATCTTTTCTAAAAGTTGTAAATCCTCTCGCTCTTCATATTTTTGAAATTTCGCTGTCTAATCTGAACTTAAGATTCTTTCCGGATAATATACTAACACTTATTTTAGTTCCTTAGATCAAGAAATACCTAAAACCATAAATTTAGCTCCAATACTTTTCCTTTCTCTTGAAATTAGAGTAATCTCAAGAATGGCTAATTCTACTATAATTCAAAATATCTGATAGGCCTACCAAATCTTAATTGGTATTTTTCCTTGTTATAGTTCTGAAACTTTGTTTGGGAGAAGAAAGAAGAAGTTTAGACAACATTCTGACATATCGACTGAACTGTTATCTTCAATAGGTTAGTAGAGTAGTAGCAATGTCTGCTGTCCCTTTGGGACAGCAGACATTGATAAACCTATTATACTACCAACGTATTACCCTAACTGTACACTTTGATTCGTAATTTTCTGACTTTTCTCAGTAAATCAGGATAAACTTAGGCTTAAGGCATGAACTAGTTTTAAACAGCACTTAAAATTTATTTAGAAACTTGATAAAGTACTTTCAAGAAGTTTATTGACGATGTTTAGTATCATAATTAATAATAGAAGCTCTCCTCCAGCAGCCTGGCTGGAGGAGAGCTATGATTAATACATTCTTGTCCTAGACATTTATGTCTAGGATCCTTGGATTTACTCTAAAGAGTTCACTTCTTTTCTGAGTCTATTTATATCAAACCTGAACTTTCTTTGTAAGTTGTTAAACTCATTAAGTTCCTCTTTGCTGATATTCTTCAATTTGTATTCTTCTTCATGGATTGAGCTTTGGCTCGAGCTTGAGGTAAAGCTTTTAAGAGATTTGGACATATAGAGGCTACTGGAGTCTCTCTCATAAATTTTATAATCATTTTCCATTTTATTAACAAATAATGTTTGCAATATTTATATTTTACGAGGGGTTTTGGGGTTTTGGGGTTTTGGGGTTTTGGGGTTTTGGGG